ATCACTCTCAAACTTATGGGGCAAAGTGAGCGTAGCATTTATACTCCCGAGGATATGCTTCGTGCATGTGTATAGAATTTCAGTGGGAGCTGGGATACTTACCTTCTTTTAGTTGAGTTCTCCTACAACAATAACTACCACACCAACATTGGTATGCCTCCCTTTGAGATGCTCTACGGGAGGAAGTGTCGGACCCTAATTTATTGGGGGGAGGTCAGATAGCGGGTGATGGGGAGTACTCAAGACTATTGAATTGATTCAGAAAGTGCGTGGTATGATTTAGACCATGCAAAGTCGCCAGAAGAGTTACACTGACTGGTGATGCTCCGATCTCGAGTTTTAGGTTGGAGATTTCGTGCTTCTGAAGGTGTCACCATGGAAGGGCGTCATCTGGTTCAGGAAGCGGGGAAAATTAGGCCCCATATACATCGGTCCTTTTACAACTATTGGTTGGGTGGGCAAGGTTCCTTATCGGTTGGATCTTCCTATGGTGTCTCTCAGCTGCGGAAGTGTTTGGTAGATGATTCCGCAGTGGTTCCCTTGGATGATAATCAGGTTGATGAGCGCCTGAATTATGTAGAGAGACAAATTATGATTCTTGACAGGAATACGAAGACCTTGCGCAACAAGGTAGTGGGTTTGGCGAATGTGAAATGGTGGCACTGGAAGGGTTCTGAATGGACGTGGGGACCCGAGGAGGAGACGAGGGAGCATTACCCTGAGTTATTTGCAGCAACGGATTTTGAGGACAAAATCTGATTCAAGTGTGGGAGAGTTGTAACTGTAACGTCCGTGTTTCCTGCTAGATTAAGTCATAGTATATAATCACTTTGTTCAACTATTGTAACCTTTATATGAATGAATAAGAAAGGATTATTCATATATTTATATGCTTACGTGTTTTAAAGGATATTATGTGTAAACTATATGAGTATTTAATAATAAAATGAAAAAATAAATAAAATTAAAATACGTGTCGAAGATAAAAGATTACTTAGGAAAAATAATATTAACTTAGTGGTAATATATGTTATAAGGATTCGGGAGATATAAGGAGCGTTCAAATCTGACTTCATATGAAGAAGTTATGCTTCTTCGAAAGCTTTGCAATTAAACAAGCACGACTCTGTGTTTTGTAAAAAGTTAATTTTCGATAAATTACTTTTTAGCCTTAGTGATCTAAACGAAGGTCGTATTAGTCGTTAAACCGAGAGTGTGCATATATAAAACATCTAAATATGGATTTTATGATTTTTCTAAGATTCAACGTAGCAGTATACAACTCAAAAATCAAATTTTAGATCAGTAGATTTTTAGCCGAAATAATCTAAATGAGAGTTGAATCTCTCGTTAATAGGAGTCCAACGATATAAAGTCTGACGAAAACGGACACCATATGAGAGAGTTATGCTTTTTATACGGGCTTTAACAATATAAGCCTATGTGAAAAATATAAAATCAAAATTGGCCGACGAAATCTAAACGAAAGTTGTTGATCACGTCGAGAGCTTTTCAGGGATATAAACTAATCAGTTGGATCTGAATTTGAGTTATTGAAAAATATAATTAAACTAATCATAGAGTCTGATTCTTATTATTTCTTTTATTCTTTATTTTTGTCTATTATCAAATTGAAAAGTATTATCTTGAATTTGAACTATTGATATAACATATAGAAATAAGATTTAATTTGCAAGTTACATTTTAAAATTTTTAGCTAGTTTTCCCATTTTAATAAGGGAAATTGACTTAATAAGGTAACTACCTTTTTAGTTTGTTCACATAGAGGTAATAATATTGTTTTTTTGTATTCATTTACCCAACTAACTGAAAGATCTTGTATGCTCAAGAATCATATTAAACTGATATTGCTAATTAACATATGATACTAATGGGTCCACTAACAACAACTTGATACAGTTGATTATTTATTAGACATTGATTTTAATAAATATTCAATAAACTCTTATAATTAATTGGAATTATTTATTTCATGGAAATGATAATTTTCATTAGCAAGTAACATAACATAATTCATGTGGTATGAATTAATAAGTTATGCACAACATTTTAGACTAGATGAACTCTTTTGTGTTTTACCAAAAAGTTAAAGTTTAAATTTTATAAACTTGGTTTATAAAATATAAAAGGCTTTGTCTTCTTTTGATATCTTATTTACGAAATTATGAGAAGACAAAAGGAAGACATGCATTTTGATTATTTAAATAAAAAGTATGGCTTGTCTTAAGAAGCACGGGGTACAATCTAGCTAGTAGAAGCATAGGTGCTTAATGGTTAAAGACTCATGAATATTATGCATGTTATATAAATGAGAAAAGGCTTTCATTCTATATACTTCATGCATTAAAAGTGTAAGTCCCTTGGGACTTCTCATTCTCTCTCTTTTTGTTCTTCTCATGGAGGTTACTTGCTTCTTGATGCTCTCTTTATGTTCTTATTTTGATACAAACATAAAGCTTAAGAGTCTTAAGAATTTTATACAAAAGAACTAGCATTCTACATCAAGTTGAGTCATTGTTGGTGTCTCTTAATTCATCATTCTTCATCAACTTCCAAGTCTCCCAAGAGGACCCAAAGAACTACAAAGGTTGTTATTTATTCATCTTCTTCTTTGGTGCTTGTTTTCTTTCCAAACTTTGCAATAAGATCCTTGATGGGTATAAACTTGTTTATGTTAGTCGAAATTTCTAAGTCTTCTGTTGCTAAATCTTATGTTTTTGAAACTAATTTTTGAATAAAAACCCAACAGTTGGTATCAGAGCCATCTTGCAAATTTGGTTATATTTTTTGATTTTTGGAAATCTTGGTTTTTGGAGAATATGGAAAACTTGGTTTTGTATAAAAACAAGTTCATACATATTTTCTATGACAACTTTATAATTGTTATTTTTTTTATGTGACAAAAGTTTCATGCATCTTTTGTCATTTAAAGTTGTCTTAGAAAAACAAATGTTGTTTAATGTGTATGTTGATATGTATGATGTGGATAAACTAGCCAAATACCATTGTGTTTGTTGTTTTTATTATAAAATGGTTGTAATAATTTATTTTATTCATACGGAATGTAATAAATTAAATATGTTAGTTTTCTTGGTTTATTTTTGTAAATAATAGATTATTTTTAGAAATAAATTATTTGTACAAAAATGTAACAATAAATGAAGTTGAAGCCATTTCTGAAGACCAAAGAGCAATTTTCGAGTATAAGAACATGCTGAAAGTTAGTGACAGTTTCTGAAAAGTGTCACTAATTCTTTTTCCAAATGGTTGTTGGACTTTTAGCGACAGTTACTGAAATATTACTTTCAAGAAGTTTTTCCAATCTTTTGCAGGCAATGGGTGTTTTCTCAAGTGGGAGCTTCTACAACAACATTCCAAGAAGATTTTTGGTCCCTTTAAGTATCCCTTTAGGAATGAACTTGACATTTTTGTGTTGGCTCACAAAAATATCATTAGTTGATTATTTTTATGCACATAGATTTTTATGCATGTTTGTGTTGTTTATTTTATGCAATTATTATGTATGGTTGATAAATTAGTTTTTCAAATGCTAAAATAATTAAAATAAACTTCAAATGGAGTTTGGTTTTCAAAATTTATAATGTTGACATAAGATGTAACAAGTTATTGTTTTAAAATAAAATCCGGTTTTATAAAAACGTTAATAACGACAAATTTTGAAATACTCAATTATAAGTTTTAAAATGGTGATTTTTGTAACTTATACAAACTCCAAATATATAGGTAATAAAAGGAAGTTTTATTAAATATATAAAAAGTTCAAATGCACTCAAACTTAATACCGGTTATTAAAATTGAATCGCGTCAAATTATATAAAAACTAGTTTTTTATCACTACTAGAAAAACAATCTTTTACAACGCGCAAATAATGACACACACTGATAGAGGACGCGCATTTGTGCGTGCCCTAAAAATTAATGTTAGTTATCCAAAATTTGAAGGATAGAGGACACACATTTGTGCGTGCCCTAAAATTAGTGTCGAACAAAACAAAATTAAAAACACGGATGACGCTTATTTTAAGTGTGTGTCATCTTCAAATGTCGCTTTATATTTTTTTTAACTAAACGCGCGTTTTTAAAGAGGGATCCTCTAAAATTCTAAAATTCTAAAATTTTGAATACCCACTTCTGCACTCTCTCCTCTGGATCGCCTTATCTCTCGTAAAATCGCACCGAGCCATTCTCTCCCTCCTCTCTCTCTCTCTCTAACCCTAGACACAGCCACTGGCCATTCACGACGATGTCTTCCTACCCTTTCCTTCTTCCTTGCTCCATATTTTTGACCTTCGTCGGAGCTATCTTCTTCTCCCCCGCCGCCGCCACCAACAAACTACATCCTTATTCATTACCCTAAAAACTAGACTAATCTTTCACCTCTCATAATCTCTCTCATAACACTTAGGTTTTTGGCAATGAAAAAAATTGACCCCCTACTCCTTTGATGTGTTCTAATTTCTCACTGTATCTAGGTTAAAATCAACCATTGCAGCAGAGCATCTTCTCGTGTAGTGTTTAGAGGCATCGACATCTTCCAACCTTTCTCTATATAGGAATCGACTCCAAGGTAAGAATAGGGTTCGACATCTTCCAAGGTAAGAATAGGGTTCTTCATACCCTGTAAGTTTAAAAATCATTACTTGACAGTTAGTATAAATAAACCGATCTTTACAAAACATATTGTTTATTTGATTTTAGTTTTCAATGCTGATGGTAATAATGTTGATGTAGGTATTTCGTTATTGTCAACAACAACCTTAAAATTCAAAATGTTTGGTTTGTCAAACATCAGAAAACTTGTGGATATGTCTTCTGTGTGGGTTTTTTGGGTGTGGGAGGTATAAAGAAGGGCATGCAGTTGAACACTGGAAACAAACACAACACTGCTACTCTCAGGAACTGGAAACACAACGTGTGTGGGATTATGTTGGTCTCTCTAGTGAAGATCTTTTATACCTATGGATGTAGAGTCCAAAAGACTAATTGTTAGGATGAAGAAAGGTATACTGATTCATAAACATTCTCTAGTGCTTTTGAGCTTGAGTTTATATGTTTTTATTACTGATTTTTTCACGAGTTGTTTTTTTGTAGGTGTGTATGATGCTCTACAGAAGAAATATCTCGGGACACTAATGTTCTGTGTGTGCCCGACAGTTGAAGGGCCAGTGATTGAAGAATATTCCTGTAAGTTGTTGTTATAATATGAACATGTAAGAGGAATTTTACTTTGCTTTACTAAAATCTACAGACGGATCCCCTCGCACAAATGACCACTTCCGACCAGTCCAGGTACTTCCATTTTCGTATTTAGAATTCAATTAACTATCCGAATATACCAAAGCATGTTTGATCAAACCCTGCTTCTCAATCTAGTTAATTTATCAGTATTGTTTGCTTCAATTTAGAGCCAATAATTCCTCCACCACTCCTCTCTGTCGAATAAGATTGAGGTTACAAATGAAAGCTTAATTGTGGTTGATGCACATGATCATATTAGGATAGTAAAATGATGCGAAGACTCTGTACATGAATTAGTTATAATAATGACTAACACACAATGTTTATGAATTTATAAGCAAATTGTATATTATCTATGCAGTTTTTTACTGAATGACAACTATTATCGATTTGATTGATACTATTGGGCCAAAGATCTAAAGTTAACTGGTTCCATTTGTGGCTTTTGATTTTTATGATTGATGATCTGATTCCTTAGTTCGTTTCAGAAAATCCAAGATGGTAATTGAGTTGCTTAAAGGCATTCATTTTGTTTCTTCTCTGGAGGCCATTTCTCTTGGCGTTCAAACTGGGATTCATCTTTGGATATTATACGATATTATATCAAATGTTGCAGGTAACTCATGGTAGATTCAGTAACTGTTATCATCCGAACTCATTTTTGTTTTTAAGTAGTTTCATAGTTGATGTTAAAGAATTCCAAACCTTATATAAACTTTGATCTTTTATTATACATTAGGTAACTTTCTTCCTTTCCAATATGCAGGATTTTCAAGAATTACATCCCTTATCTATTACAGGGGAAGAAAATCAAGGATGACTTCCTTAACACTTCAGTTCAAGATTTGGTAACTTACCTGAACCCATTGTTTCCAGATTAAATTTTGTGTATTACAGGGGACTGTTTTAGACACAACCAAGTCACTTATATTTCCTCTTCCACTCCTGGCTGTTGCTCATCAACAATTCCTAGCAGGTATGCTCTACATCAATAACATTATATGAATGCTAAAATCAAATGAATAATCAGTGATTCTTGTTTGTGTTCATATTGAACAGGCTGTAGACATGCAGATGCAAATGGTCTTGATGGTTTAAAGGTTCAGATTATACTATCATCTATCTGCTACCAGCCTTGTTTATTCATGTTAGAATTCAACAATTCAATTAGTGCAGGTTTGGGAAAGAGTACTTGGAGTGCAAATTACCTTTTGAGGTCAGTATTTAACATTCTGTAGAGACGAATTAGTGCAGGTTAGGCTGATGTCAGTGAAAAGCAAGCTAAACTTGGTGATGAAGACTATTACTATGACATGTCATACTTGGTGCCTTATTCAACTTATCAGAACCTGCCACATGGTACATTTTTTGTAAATCAAACTGAATGATATATATTTTATCATTTAAACTATCATTATACTATAATACTAGCAAGTGATTAAACTTTTAATACACTTTATCAACCAACTGCAGATGTTGAAGGAGATGGGAATGAATCTAATTCAACCGTTTATTCTGAGTATGATGTTAATGGAGTTGTTATTGAAGAATCCCAAAGCCAAAACAACAAAAGATCAGAGATGAGAATGCTTGGGTGCTAATATGGTTGATGTTAAAGGATACCGAAGCAAGAGAGTTCTGAGGCATAAATAGGATCAAACTGATGGGTTTCGAGCAATACATCATTCCTATGGTGTACATGCAAACCCTAATAGCTTTTGGATCTAGTTTGTCTAATGAACATGCAATTGAATATCCAAAGCTATAAACCCTAGATCTATCAAATAAGAACTGAAATAAGGGTTTAGTAATTACCTTTGATTGTTATATAGCAATAACAATCAATCCTTGCTTTGATTGGCTTCAGAAAGCTTAGTGCCTCAAGTGTTGCACCTCTAATGGAGTCACAAACACCACTAAGCAACTTGGATGAAAAAGGGAGGAGAGAGGAGGCACCAAAAACGGCTGGAAACCCTAAAGGATTACTTGTCCACGTTTTGGGGGCTTAAGGTTCTTTTATATACATGTAGGCTATTAGGGTTTACAACTAGGAAACCCTAATGTGGCTGCTTAAGCCCTAAGCAGCCCATGGACTCCTTTAACATATCTCTTGGACGAATTCCTTATGGGCTTCCCATATAATTCGTCCAACCTATATTATTTAGGTAATCCATAGCCCAATTGCAATTATCTTATAATTACAAATCCAGTCCCCTAAGTTTAATTAATCTCTTTTAGCCACTAAATTAATTCTTAATTAATTCTTGACTAATATTAATTAAACAATATGATTTCTCCTTTAATATATTATTCTTATAATATATTAGTAAATCATAATTAAACCTTTCTCTCCTTAATTCATCCTACATATTGCTATGGTGAAGGCAACCCAAAAGGACCATGCTCATAATCGGGTCAAGTACATACCAAAATAGTTATGGACTTAGACACTAATCCAACAGTCTCCCACTTGGATAAGTCTAATAACTATTCTGTATAACTTCAGAACCTGATCAGCAATCGTAGCTTTCAAAAGCCGCTGTCAACTCTGATCTTATCAGATACGCGTGTCCTTTAGATAAGGGATCATATATTCCTCCATTCTACAAGATATCGTATAGACACAAGACATGGATTTAAATCATTCTCTCTGTCTATGTATTGTTTCCCGACTTCCGATTCATGACGACTGACAACAGACTACAATTGAACACATCAACTTAGTCCCGGCTTGGCCAAGCGCTTAGGGTGTCATCACTAAATCATCGAGGGGCCCACAGATATCGCTTTTATCCCACTTTGGGTAAAAGGAATGGATAAACTTCGACTCAAATGCTTGCTTGCACCTACTAATCGGATCACACACAATAATAAGTTTTATAACACCAAGTTACTGGTGCGTTTACTTATCATCAATGTGCAACCGATCAGCAAGGAACAACTCACACGTCTTGGTTTCAAGAATATACAATATTATCGTCTCACTAATCACCCGTGAAAAATCCATGAAGTGATTCAAGTGAGCGTGGGTTTAATCCAATACTTTAATCTTATCAAAGCACTCATGAACTATGCAGCAAACTTGTGCTATGTCTAAACACTTTAGACAATCTACAGACAGATTCATGACAGTCTTCCTTCATACCTACTTCCAACGTATGACCGACTGTGGAGGTTCGAATAACCCAGTTATTCTGGAAGTCAAAACATGCAAAGTGAAACACAATAATAATATTAATCCTATATGGCCCCAAAACTTTCGAGCGTAAATAAAAACACTTTTATTTAAACACCATATTGATTACTCATTATTTATTGCTTACTGTTTCAGAAAATCAACTTATTTCTCGAATTATAACCACAATTGTCCCATGCTCCAAGCATGCACACTTTGGTTTCCTATGGTCCATGCTTTGTGAAATAGATCAATTGAAAAACTTTTCCAATGAAGCTCATTTCACAATCCCCAATCCTTATTATTAGTATAAGAATACCAAATTCTTGCCACTTTTAGAATATGTCAGATTCTAACATTTTATGCAATGATTCTTTCGTAAAGTCATAGCACAAAAGTCATCAAGACTTGGCCAATGAAATCACAAAGTACTCTATCAGAAATTGTTACAAAACAATTATATAGATGTGATGTCTCTCACTCAAAGTACATTCCTTCGAACATCCTTTTGCATAAAAGTTTCTAATCTACATAGATTCTTAATTTCCAACTCCCATTTATGGAAACATTTCCATATTTGCTATATGACAACTCATTCTTAATAGAATCTTATCTATTCATAATAATGTCAATATAGTCCATCCAGTACTATACTTCCAACTACTCACAAGCGACAAATCCTCAGTGAACCTCAGATCGTCCTTTGATAGTTGTTTAATTATTTTAGTCAAAACCATTTCTAGTCCTTTTTCCCTCTAAATGCCCTAGGTATTTGGAAAATTTTAGAATGGTCAAATATTATAGCATATGCAATCGATCTTTTACCCGAAGCGTATTGGACACGATGCATAATGTCTCACATAAAGACGTGATACTTTATCATCCTTCTTCCATAATATTTTATGTGCCATGTTCCCACTATTCGAACTATGAAGAGGGATGTCGTAATCATTTTATCGAATATTGAGAATGCACGATGTATCCTTAACTAAATTTATTAACATTTCTTGATCTAAGCTTTAGAATTTTGAAACGAAGTATAATATTCTCTCCCTTAATTATAGCAAAACAACTTTTCAATCCTTGCAACTTTACAAAGTGAATCTTTGTTTTCTATAATTAATATTGCTAACTTGCAATACTTACCATAATAATCATGCTCAACACTAACATGATGATTATTTTCTTACCAGCATAACACTTATGCTCCCACTAGCTTTGACATGTATTTAGAAAACAATTGAACTTCCAGAAAACAATGTTTATTGAATTCCTTAAGTTCATATTTCTAATACTTAATGCTTTGATAAGCCTTTATCTAAGCTTTGTAAGCTCATACACCTCTGCCTTAGATAGCTCACATGTGTGTCTAAAGAAATTCAGAACTTATGTTACTAAGTCCCAAATGTTCAGACTAATTGCCAAATCTCACAATTCGAACTATGAAGAGGGATGCCGTAATCATAATCAAATTTGAGAATACAATTTTCACAATTGCAATTTTCTTAAAATCTCTCTTAGTGAAAACATTTCCTTACAATCATTTTCATGAAGAAAGGAAACTTCATGACACTTAGATTTTAAAGTGTATGTGTTCCTATCCATGTGAATTTGTCAAAACCAAAGTTTGCGACAAATCCAAACTCATATGGACCGAACGTGGTCAATCTCGATTTCTTGCCTCATGGTAACACGAGTGCCCACCATGTCTTCCAAGTGGTTTAGCAACTCACCCTTACATATCAATGCACTTTCCATTGATCAAGGTGCTTTGTCTTTATGCATTCAAATGAGAACTCATAGAACTCACATGCATATTAACTCAATTGGAATGGCACAGAAAAAGAGTATGTCATCCACGATAGGCTTTAAACCTCAAGTCGTGTGCTAGTGATGATCAACTAGGTTTAACTCTTGATTTGTTCTTGAAACCTTTCAAGACCATTAAGACTCCCACATGACTCCTTGACATATAAGATTCTCTTGTCAAGAAACATTCCTTGACAAAACAAATATTCAAGAGTTAGTGTAGTTTTTATCAAGACTATCACTTCACATAATTGGTTCTAGTTGGTCTTTGTCTTATCCAAGACATCACAACTTACCAATCTCAAATGTGCAGGAATAAGAAGACTTTTTCCAATTCCACATTTGTTGAGTGTTAAAACCTACTAAAGACTTGTCACTCAATTCACAATCTTGGAATATAACTCTAAGACTTGATATAGGAATGAAGTATGATTGACTTCTTGATTTTAACCATTTCTACAAGTCTCGATTCCTTCTCTTAGACATACAAATGCACTAAGACTCACTTGGAGGATCATCTGAGATATGGTTCTTAATCATTAAAACTTATCATAAAACACAATAAAAGGTATTCTCCCTTCTTCTTAGAATAGAGAAACTTTTATCTTTCTGCCTACTTGATTCTTCTTATTCGTTCTGCTATTGATTGAAACTCTTTCAATCAACTCAGAATTATACTTAATCTTATAAGTATAACCATATTTACTAAACTTTAGTAAATCATAACGAATATCTTTATCACTCTTGTGATGGACTTGATCAATGCACAACCTAGTGTACTCGATCTCCTAGTCCTTCTCTTGACACATTGTCAAAGAATTAGTCTAATTTCCAAATATGAAGTTTTTTCATTCATCACGCAACCAAGTTACATGACTCCAAGTTTCTGTCCAACTGAAACTTGGGCGATGAGAATCTTCCCTTATTTGGCAAATTCTCGACATTTCCACAAATAACATAATAAAGAATCCATTATTGCTAACAATAGAAACAATCAAACATCAATTTTTCATACACACCATTGCAAGGATAAATAAATAAGACAAAATCAAAATTTATTTTATTGCGGAAAAATTTGTCCTTACAATGCAATTCAACTGAAAAACTATGCTATTACATATTTCTTATCAATCTATCCTAACTCTAGAGTAGCAGCTCAAAAATCTGATCCTCGAGTCCATGCGATCGAAATCCATTTCTTCATGATCAGATTCAGCACGCTTCTTCCTTAAGCTTCCTCTCTTTTCTTCGATCCTGCAAAAACATCAAAATGTAATCTTATCACATCATGTATTAAGAATCAAAGAATAGGAACTTATAGAGTTAGTTAATAGATTTTACCTGAAGTAGAGCCATACGTCTTGACTCTCCCATCTCTTAGATCTCTCAGGTAAATAGGGCAGCTTCGTCTCCAATGCCCCTTCTCTTGGCAAAAAGAAGCAAATGGACTCTTTTGGAATGACACAAGCAACTATCTCAGAATTTACCTTTTCTGGATTTCTAATGTCACCATTTTCAATGTCCATTGAAGTTTGGGAGTTTGATTTGCCAGACAAATTTGCTCGATCAGCACACCAAATCATTTCTGATTCAGAAGCTATAAGCAAATAGGTCAAA